AAGAGTGATCACAAATAATAGCTAAAAACGCCGAAAACACAATATTTAAGAAGTTATGGCCATTTTAAAATTCTTCTTATTTCACACTTTAAAACGTGATCACAAATAATAGCTAAAAACGCCGAAAACTCAATATTTAAAGAGTTATGGCCATTTTAAAATTCTTATTAATTCACACTTAAAAAAGTGATCACAAATAATAGCTAAAAATGCCGAAAACACAATATTTAAGGAGTTATGGCCATTTTAAAATTCTTATTAATTCACACTTTAAAACGTGATCACAAATAATAGCTAAAAATGCCGAAAACTCAATATTTAAGGAGTTATGGCCATTTTAAAATTCTTATTAATTCACACTTAAAAAAGTGATCACAAATAATAGCTAAAAACGCCGAAAACTCAATATTTAAAGAGTTATGGCCATTTTAAAATTCTTATTAATTCACACTTAAAGAAGTGATCACAAATAATAGCTAAAAACGCCGAAAACTCAATATTTAAAGAGTTATGGCCATTTTAAAATTCTTATTAATTCACACTTAAAAAAGTGATCACAAATAATAGCTAAAAACGCCGAAAACTCAATATTTAAAGAGTTATGGCCATTTTAAAAATCTTATTAATTCACACTTAAAAAAGTGATCACAAATAATAGCTAAAAACGCCGAAAACACAATATTTAAGGAGTTATGGCCATTTTAAAATATTGATTAATTCACAATTAAAAAAGTGATCACAAATAATAGCTAAAAGCGCCGAAAACTCAATACTTAAGGAGTTATGGCCATTTTAATATATTGATTAATTCACGCTTAAAAAAGTGATCACAAATAATAGCTAAAAACGCCGAAAACTCAATATTTAAGGAGTTATGACCATTTTAAAATATTGATTAATTCACGCTTAAAAAAGTGATCACAAATAATAGCTAAAAACGTGAAAACTCAATATTTAAAGAGTTATGGCCATTTTAAAATTCTTATTTTCACACTAAAAAAGGTGATCACAAATAATAGCTAAAAATGCCGAAAACTCAATATTTAAAGAGTTATGGCCATTTTAAAATTCTTATTAATTCACACTTAAAAAAGTGATCACAAATAATAGCTAAATACGCCGAAAACACAATATTTATGGAGTTATGGCCATTTTAAAATTCTTATTAATTCACACTTTAAAACGTGATCACAAATAATAGCTAAAAACGCCGAAAACTCAATATTTAAAGAGTTATGGCCATTTTAAAATTCTTATTTTCACACTAAAAAAGGTGATCACAAATAATAGCTAAAAATGCCGAAAACTCAATATTTAAGGAGTTATGGCCATTTTAAAATTCTTATTAATTCACACTTTAAAACGTGATCACAAATAATAGCTAAAAATGCCGAAAACTCAATATTAAAAGATTTATGACCATTTTAGAATATTGATTAATTCATGTTAAAACGTGATCACAAATAATAGCTAAAAACGCCGAAAACTCAATATTTAAAGAGTTATGGCCATTTTAAAATTCTTATTAATTCACACTTTAAAAAGTGATCACAAATAAAAGCTAAAAACGCCGAAAACACAATATTTAAGGAGTTATGGCCATTTTAAAATTCTTATTAATTCCCACTTAAAAAAGTGATCACAAATAATAGCTAAAAACGCCGAAAAATCAATATTTAAGGAGTTATGGCCATTTTAAAATATTGATTAATTCACAATTAAAAAAGTGATCACAAATAATAGCTAAAAGCGCCGAAAACTCAATACTTAAGGAGTTATGGCCATTTTAATATATTGATTAATTCACGCTTAAAAAAGTGATCACAAATAATAGCTAAAAACGCCGAAAACTCAATATTTAAGGAGTTATGACCATTTTAAAATATTGATTAATTCACGCTTAAAAAAGTGATCACAAATAATAGCTAAAAACGCCGAAAACTCAATATTTAAGGAGTTATGACCATTTTAAAATATTGATTAATTCACGCTTAAAAAAGTGATCACAAATAATAGCTAAAAACGTGAAAACTCAATATTTAAAGAGTTATGGCCATTTTAAAATTCTTATTTTCACACTAAAAAAGGTGATCACAAATAATAGCTAAAAATGCCGAAAACTCAATATTTAAGGAGTTATGGCCATTTTAAAATTCTTATTAATTCACACTTTAAAACGTGATCACAAATAATAGCTAAAAATGCCGAAAACTCAATATTTAAAGAGTTATGGCCATTTTAAAATTCTTATTAATTCACACTTAAAAAAGTGATCACAAATAATAGCTAAAAACGCCGAAAACACAATATTTAAGGAGTTATGGCCATTTTAAAATTCTTATTAATTCACACTTTAAAACGTGATCACAAATAATAGCTAAAAATGCCGAAAACTCAATATTAAAAGATTTATGGCCATTTTAAAATTCTTATTAATTCACACTTAAAAAAGTGATCACAAATAATAGCTAAAAACGCCGAAAACTCAATATTTAAGGAGTTATGACCATTTTAGAATATTGATTAATTCATGTTAAAACGTGATCACAAATAATAGCTAAAAACGCCGAAAACTCAATATTTAAAGAGTTATGGCCATTTTAAAATTCTTATTAATTCACACTTAAAAAAGTGATCACAAATAAAAGCTAAAAACGCCGAAAACACAATATTTAAGGAGTTATGGCCATTTTAAAATTCTTATTAATTCCCACTTAAAAAAGTGATCACAAATAATAGCTAAAAACGCCGAAAAATCAATATTTAAGGAGTTATGGCCATTTTAAAATATTGATTAATTCACAATTAAAAAAGTGATCACAAATAATAGCTAAAAGCGCCGAAAACTCAATACTTAAGGAGTTATGGCCATTTTAATATATTGATTAATTCACGCTTAAAAAAGTGATCACAAATAATAGCTAAAAACGCCGAAAACTCAATATTTAAGGAGTTATGACCATTTTAAAATATTGATTAATTCACGCTTAAAAAAGTGATCACAAATAATAGCTAAAAACGTGAAAACTCAATATTTAAAGAGTTATGGCCATTTTAAAATTCTTATTTTCACACTAAAAAAGGTGATCACAAATAATAGCTAAAAATGCCGAAAACTCAATATTTAAAGAGTTATGGCCATTTTAAAATTCTTATTAATTCACACTTAAAAAAGTGATCACAAATAATAGCTAAATACGCCGAAAACACAATATTTATGGAGTTATGGCCATTTTAAAATTCTTATTAATTCACACTTTAAAACGTGATCACAAATAATAGCTAAAAACGCCGAAAACTCAATATTTAAAGAGTTATGGCCATTTTAAAATTCTTATTTTCACACTAAAAAAGGTGATCACAAATAATAGCTAAAAATGCCGAAAACTCAATATTTAAAGAGTTATGGCCATTTTAAAATTCTTATTAATTCACACTTAAAAAAGTGATCACAAATAATAGCTAAATACGCCGAAAACACAATATTTATGGAGTTATGGCCATTTTAAAATTCTTATTAATTCACACTTTAAAACGTGATCACAAATAATAGCTAAAAACGCCGAAAACTCAATATTTAAAGAGTTATGGCCATTTTAAAATTCTTATTAATTCACACTTAAAAAAGTGATCACAAATAAAAGCTAAAAACGCCGAAAACACAAAATTTAAGGAGTTATGGCCATTTTAAAATTCTTATTAATTCCCACTTAAAAAAGTGATCATAAATAATAGCTTAAATGTCGAAAACTCAATATTTAAGGAGTTATGGCCATTTTAAAATATTGATTAATTCACGCTTAAAAAAGTGATCACAAATAATAGCTAAAAACGCCGAAAACTCAATAATTACGGAGTTATGGCCATTTTAAAATATTGATTAATTCACGCTTAAAAAGGTGACCACAACTAATAGCTAAAAGCGCCGAAAACTCAATACTTAAGGAGTTATGGCCATTTTAAAATATTGATAAATTCACGCTTAAAAAAGTGATCACAAATAATAGCTAAAAATGCCGAAAACTCAATATTTAAGGAGTTATGGCCATTTTAAAATTCTTATTAATTCACACTTAAAAAAGTGATCACAAATAATAGCTAAAAACGCCGAAAACTCAATATTTAAGGAGTTATGGCCATTTTAAAATATTGATTAATTCACACTTAAAAAAGTGACCACAAATAATAGCTAAAAACGCCGAAAACTCAATATTTAAGGAGTTATGGCCATTTTAAAATCCTTATTAATTCACACTTAAAAAAGTGATCACAAATAATAGCTAAAAACGCCGAAAACTCAATATTTAAGGAGTTATGGCCATTTTAAAATATTGATTACTTCACACTTAAAAAAGTGAATATAAATAATAGCTCAAAACACCGAAAACTCAATATTTAAGGAGTTATGGTCATTTTAATTTAATTATTAATTCACACTTAAAAAGGTGATCACAAATAATAGCTAAAAACGCCGAAAACTCAATATTTAAGGAGTTATGGCCAATTAATTCTCGCATCAAAAAGTGATTGCACATTATAGCTAAAAACGCCGAAAACTCAATTTTTAAAGATGTGGAAACTGGCCTTAACGAAATGAACATTTCATGGTGAGGCAGAAATTTGTTTTGCAATTTACATATTGATTAAAAAATGTGCATGGACATATAAATGTAAACATTTTTTTCTTAAATGATTTGGCTGTTTTGATATTTTGGTCATTAGTGTTAGAAAACTTCATGATTTTGAAAAGTCTTCCAACAAAAGAACACTTTCGACTCGACGAATCAAGAAGTATTGTTAGTTCTGGAATTTAGATATATTATTAGTTCAGGAACTCTTCTTTATATTTGCTCTGTACCAGAATTGCACGAATTTGAAAAATTTTACTAAGCGATTTTTCCTTTTTAATATCGAAATAAAAAATTGCATAACTATTAGATTCTTGCAGGTTCTGGAACATAGCATTAATTGCCCGGAGTCGAGTTATTTTTTTGACTTAGTTTGAATGAAAATATATATTTAATTTGACTGTCTTATTTCATAAAATACATCAATTTGTAGTTATTGAAAAGAACACTGCTTTAGCCATGGTTGTTTTTAAATAATGAAGAAATAATGTCCCTTGGAATCGCATTCGAACTCGTATTCGTGCACAACATCGGTAAAGGATTTTCGAAGTTCAGAGCATTCTGTAATGAAAGAGGATACATTTTAGTTTTAGATTGTGTGCAAATCTGTAATAAAGTTCATTAAGTTTTAGACCGCGTTCCTGGAGGTGTTGCGGAACGTCTGTACATTAGATTTAATGTTAGTAAAAATTGTAGTATGTATAACGTTTATAATAATGTTCATAATATGTAACATTTAAATACAGATATGGGCAAAATGTAGACACTTTTTGAAGGGAGATACAAGAAGGTGTGAACCTACACATCGTCATGTGATATCCAATGCTATTTTATTGAGATATGTAAGCTTAAAGAAAATTAAAATGTGTATGAGATCTTTTTGGGAGAGGGAAATCTTTGAGAGGGAGAGAAGCACTTGGCCAATATTTCCGATATTTGATCCTGAGCTAATCATCTCATCTCCAAAAGAAATAGGCTTTTATTCTGACCCTAACCCCACCTTCGTGCAAAATTATATATATATATATATATATACATATATATATATATATATATATATATATATATATATATATATATATATATATATATATATATATATATATATATATATATATTTGTATATATATATATATATATATATATATATATATATATATATATATATATATATATATTTGGGTGATCATAGGATAATATTTAGCGCGTAAAATAGACCATATATTTTGTTTTGAAAAAATTCAAAATTTTTCATTAAACCGCGATTATTTTAAATCCAGGCGAAAAATTACATTGATGTTAACATCCATCAAATCGGATATATAGCAAAATATGTGCGATATATATGTCTATCCAAGAAGATATGCTTGAAAGATCTCTTATATGTCGAGAACGGCTGAACTGATTTCGACAGTTCTCATTAATTCAAAATGGCCTCTTGGCAGGAAAGAAAAAACTTCTAAAAAAATTGCATAAAAATATCTCTCTAAAGATGAAAATATTGATTTTGTAATATTTTCTCATATTTTTTCAATTTTGTCATGTTTTTGGCATATTTTCATTTTGAATTAAACATTTCGTAATATTTCTACAGCTAACAAAACTAAGTAGTTAGGATATCAGGATATCATATACAGATCGCATTTATGGCCCGATCCTTACGAAATTTTGCATGGGTATAAGATGAGGGTCAGAATAGAAGCCTACTCTTTTTGGAGATGATCGCAATATCTTTAGGGGTTGAAATGGACCAAAAAACTGCTAAATTGTCAGCAGGTCGTAATTATCGCCCGATCCTTACGCACATTTGAATGGGGGTTACCGGACATTGCAAAAGCCAAATAGTTTTGGATGGCCATCCAAAAATATTCAATGTGTGAAATAGTTTGCCAACTTTTGTAGTGACTATTTGGAGAATTCACAAATACAGGAAAGACGCACTTCCGACTATTTCGTTAAGACTGATTTCGTTGAAGAATATAGTCATATGTCTGTATCTCATATAGATGCGTTTTAGTCAAAAACCAATAATAAATGTTAATCTTTTGCCACTTCTGAGATATTATAGGTCTTTGGGAAATATTGGTTCCAGATCTAGGAAGACCATTTGCGTGCAACATCTACCAATAAATTGGAAATGAGCAAATTAGTTTAAGTTGCTATTATTCGAAAATTAGAGAACGAAACCTGATGGTTTTCTTTTATTACTTGTCACAATATCTTGTGGAATTCTTTCGAGTATCTCGCCTATATTACCTGTATCATTTATTAGAGTGTTGTAGGGTATTCAACGGTCGGCCCCGCTCGACTGTAGCCTTTGCTTACTTGTTTTTTTATTTATTTTTTTTTTTTTGTTTTTTTCGCATTATTTTCTGTACCAAGCGTACAAAAGCATTTTGGGGAGAATTTTCCAGATAAAAGTTATTTTTGATGGAGTTCAAGCGTGATAGTGTGATTTCTTTATATTTGGCTACAAAACCACAAGTTAGCGATAGCCACTTGAGCACTCCAGCATTTCAATGTGAATAATTCTTTTGTATCTCGTTCCATCGCTCGTTACCGTGATACTGGTAGCGTAGCCCGACCTGAAGAAAGTGGACGGAAGAACATATCGCTATATTCCATTCGGCAAATATTAAAAAAATGAGCTCGGGGTAAAGTCATTGAAATTCCAAAAGTGCAAGAACTTACACCGCAACAGAAAGCAAATAGACTCAAAAGAGCTAAAGATTTGCTTCGCTTGGCTGAAAGTGGTGAACTGCCGAATTTTAATTTTCGCCGATGAATAAACATTCGTTGTCCAGCAGTTTGTAAACAAACAATATCATCGTGTTTACTTGCCAAAGAGGTCAGCTGAAAAATGCACCTTCGCTTGGCCACCAGAACTCAAGCGCCGGCCATGGTGATGGTGTGGGCCGCCATAACAGCCGATGGCCGCTCTCCGCTCGTATTAGTCGACCGTGGCATCAGAATAAATGCCGAATATTATAACGAAAATATTCTGGAGGGTGTATTAAAGCCTTGAGCACGCAATCATTTTGCCCACTGACCTTGGTTAGGACTCAGCCCCATCGCTCTCAGCACGCGCCATCCAAGAATGGTTACAAAATGAAGTTCCTCGCTCCATTTCCAGCGCACAATGGCCACCAAAATCTCCGGATACCAATCCGTTGGACTATTGTGTCTGGAGTATTTTGGAAAGCAAGGTAGGCACTAAAAAATACCAAAGTGTCGATCACCTCAAGCAAACAAGCATTAGGGCAGCGTGTGACGGTTTCATTGACCGTTTGAAGGCCATAGTTCGTGCCAAAGGTGACCAATCCGAACCAATCTAAACGTATTCTAAAATTTGTAGCTATTTCCGACATTTTTTGCTTTCATTCATTAAAATTAAAGAAAAAAAAAAAAAAAAATTATGGCATTTGACTTTGTGGCGGTTTTTTATCTCACCCTGTATTGTGGACGAAATCCGTGTTAGGATAATAGACGTTATTGAAGACGAAAGGGGTAATCGTGTTGGTCCAAATTTGTAACATCATGTTATTATACCCTCAGCCATATGGCTAGAAAATATATCATTTGACATTGCAAAACATGCCACATCGAAATAATGGTTTTAGACCCTAGGCCTTTTTGCCGAAATCTGATTCAGAACATTTGGAGTCGATCAAGTGGTGTCCGTACGTCAGTCTGTCTGACTGTCTGATTGGTGCTCACGATCTGGTGTGAAGATAAGATATATCGGTCCATTCCTTCTGTTACCACCCCCACAATAATTGAATGAGCACAAAACCTGGTTGGAAGTTAATAGATATCGATTGACTTATTTTTTGTTAAAGGAGTCAACATTTTGAATGACCACGAAGCTCATAAAACGCAAAATGAGCATCCAATTCTTTTCAAACTTGGCACATTCCAATTCTGCAATGAAAAAAAGATATATCCCATATTCGAACTTGAACTGCCTGCAGACAAAAGACTGATCTGTGATCTCTATAGTCATTACAACAGACGGACGGACATACAGATCTGAATCGTCTTAGAAATTTAAGCTTACCAAGAATATATATAGACTTTGTTAGGTCTAAAATTATTATTTCGATGAGTTACAAATGGGACGACGAACTTAATATACCCTCCATCCTATGTATGGTGGAGGGTATAAAAACATACAAAAATAATTTCAATTTTAACACAGCTTTTGCCAAAACTTGCACCTAAATGTACAGTTCTCTGCAAGGATGTTTCCTACATGCTGGAAGCACATATTCCCAGTTTATAGCAAACACGATTTCATATTACGACTAAAACATCGAAAAAAAACCTAAAATATGCCGCTACAGTTAATATGAGACGTATACCAAAACTTAGACCTATATAGCCCATTTTCAATACCAAAAGTCCTGCAGACCGCTATAATATCCCAAACATTAATATGATTTAATATAAAATGCGGACTTACCCACTTTACAATTGCAAATATTGATGCGCTTCAAAGAACCCACCAGCGTTGGATGATTTAGTAGTATTTTAAAAAATGTTCTCTTGAAAATAGTTGTCGCCTGGCGAGTGTAGACTTTCAGTTTCATTCGCTTATTCTTCGAATACAAATCAAGCCAAAAGTCTAAGGATATGCGAAACAGCTGCAATGGAATTTGTAAGAAAACCAAATTGTTTGCTGGCAGCGTTCGTGTGGACGTCAGATGTAGATCTGGTTTCGTAGAGGGTATGGGACACAAGAAAATGCTGAATGCTGGGGGTAGATCAATAATCAATTGCTGCAGAATGCTGGACTGCAACAACTGCAGCATATAGGACCATGTCATGTGTGTGAACATAGATATTCTAAGGATTTGTAGGTAGGACATTTGTTGGAATTCCTTGAGCGGAAGGTAAGCCTGGTCCAGATGGAGTTCCTCCAGTTGGGGAAATATTTTGGAAAGATTAAAGTTATTTTGTATGGGATATGTGTCACCGGATCCTTCACTGGAGTTCAACCAATTCAATGTGGTCACCTGGGGAAAGGTGTAGTTGCCATTGGCCAGTATCTCTTCAAAGCCCTGAATAATTGATGTCTCCACAGTGAGGTTGGTGAGTGTATTAGATGGATAAACTAAATCGATCTCATGACCATCATAAGAGCTGTTAATTGTTTCGAAACTCTGAAGTGGATACTCATGTAGCATTTGGATGAAGTTTTGCCATGTTACACCCCTACACCATATCAACGACAGATGCAACAGGGATGGCGGCAGTATGAATTTGTTTGTTCGAAATTTACACTGTTCAAATGAGAGACTCTGTAATCTGGGACAGGACTCTTGTATGGCCGTTAGCGTGGCATCTGTTATCAGAACACAATTGGCCAAGTCTATGAATATCGACAGAGATTGCAGATTTCCCAGTTGAGGCAAATGTAATTGCACAAACAATAGCCAGGCACTGCGATCTGAAAATCTTCCAATATCCAAATGTTGTAGGTTTGAATACGCAAATTTTGAATTGTTTACATCTTCCAAATTTTGGCCTCCATCATAAAATAAAGAGGCACGTAAAAATAATTTCGAAAGACTCAATTTCCAGCCAATATCATTAAGAACTTCATAGTTCATTTTGATAGAGTATCGATTATCGATTCTTAGCTCTCTTAGCGATGCCATGCGGGCCAAAGTTTCTACTTTCAATTCCTGGCCCAAAACCAGTTCATCACTGCAATGAACACAACAACAACGATCCAAAATTAATCTGTTCAAACCCTGGCAATTTGTGGCAATCGTTTCCAGGTTGTTGTTTGATAACCTGCACTGTCGCATATTCAAATGGGTAAGATTCTCGTATCGCTCTATTTCTTGCATCAGGATGACATTGCTGCAACTTGCTAGTACCAATGTTTGAACATTGTAACGATTTAGCTTGAGAAATTCTCGAGCTACTTGGTCTTTCATGCAGCAAATTTCAGTTTCATTTAAGCTCACAAAATAATGATCTCCTCTAGCTGTGATTTTCAACTGTTTGCAGCTGGATCGCCACACAAAATGGACCAGGGTCTCACGAAATTCTTTGCACAAATTCACTATCGCCAAATGATGTTTTAGTTGTAGATTTCGAAATATTTTTTCCAAAATTAGGCTATTATTTAGGATTTGATTGGCTAACGACGATTGATCCATTTCGCTTTGCGGAAAACATGGACGGATGATATGCGACGCGTTTGTATTGTTGCTTTCAACTGATTAATGGTTTGGATTCCACAAATCATGTTCTAAAAACTACTTTCGTAAAACCGCTAAGAATCGCATTGGAATATTGTCTCTGACGAAGATGAGTTATTTTGATGGCATGATTTATTAGGTTATTTTAAATGCACAAGAATGGAATTGTTTTCACAGGCAAGTTGAAAAAAGAAATACACTGCGGTTGGTAGAGAGAGATTTTATGTGCGGTTCATAGCTCGAAGAATAACCGATAAACACAGATTGCCGACATTGTGGGTGGACTGGCCCATATCAAGTTATGGTGAAGGTACTTGTTCAGTACCTATAGAAAACCACAGAGAATCTACTTGATTTATTTAAAAAATAACAATTAAAAAACATTAAGCTCGGCCGGGCCGAACTTTTAATACCCTCCACAGTTGTTTAATGAAAACATATATATATATATATATATATATATATATATATATGTTTTCCGCAAGTATATATATATATATATATATATATATATATATATATATATATATATATATATATATATATATATATATATATATATATATATATATATATATATATATATATATATATATATATATATATATATATATATATATTTTAACGATTCAGACAAATTCGGAATTGCCTCTTGGCAAAAAAGAATTGAATCCAAACAAGTAAGCAAAGGCAGTTTATATAGGCAAGATAGTCGAAAGAATTCCACAAGATATTGTGACAGATAATAAAAGAAAACCATCAGGTTTCGTTCTCTAATTTTCGAGTAATACCAACTTAAACTAATTTTCTCATTCCCAATTTATTGGTAAATGGTCTTCCTAGATCTGGAACCAATATTTCCCAAAGACCTATAATCTCTCAGAAGTGGCAAAAGATTAACATTTATTATTGATTTTGACTGAAACGCATCTATATGAGATACAGACATTTGACTATATTCTTCAACGAAATCAGCCTTAACGAAATAGTCAGAAGTGCGTCTTTCCTGTATTTGTGAATTCTCCAAAAAGTCACTGGAATGGACATTTTCGTATTTTGTCTACAAAAGTTGGCAAACTATTTCGCACATTGAATATTTTTGGATGGCCATCCAAAACTGCTTGGCTTTTGCAATGTCCGGTAACCCCCATTCAAATGTGCGTGAGGATCGGGCGATAATTACGACCTGCTTACAATTTTGCAGTTTTTTGGTCCATTTCAACCCCTAAATATATTGCGATCTTCTCCAAAAAGAGTAGGCTTCTATTCTGACCCTCATCTTATACCCATGCAAAATTTCGTAAGGATCGGGCCATAAATGCGATCTGTATATGATATCCTGATATCCTAACTACTTAGTTTTGTTAGCTGTAGAAATATTACGAAATGTTTAATTCAAAATGAAAATATGCCAAAAATATAACAAAATTGAAAAAATATGAGAAAATATTACAAAATCAATATTTTCATCTTTAGAGAGATATTTTTATGCAATTTTGTTAGAAGTTTTTTCTTTCCTGTCAAGAGGCCATTTTGAATTAATGAGAACTGTCGAAATCAGTTCAGCCGTTCTCGACATATAAGAGATTTTTCAAGCATATCTTCTTTGATAGATATATATATATATATATCGCACATATTTTGCTATATATCCGTTTTGTTGGATGTTAACATCAATGTAAAGATCAGAAGTAACTTTGTCATGGCTTTGTGATTTCGCCGGGATTTAAAATATTCGCGGTTTAATGAAAAATTTTGAATTTTTTCAACACAAAAGATATGGTCTATTTTACCCGCTAATATTATCCGATGACCACCCAAATTGGTAGGCTTCTTCCCCGCCCTAAACTCTAGATACATGCGAAAATCCGTGTCGATTGGTCTATAATTGCGACCTGTATAGCTACTGCAAAATCCGACATTTTTTCAGTATTTGGTCCATTTCAACCCCTAAACATTTGGCGATCATCTCCAAAAGCAATAGGGTTCTATTCTGGTCCAAGTCCCACCTACATTCTAAATTTCGTGAAAATCGGACCATAATTGCGACCTGTAGAGTGATTACAAATTAACATGGACAGACGGACAGACGGACGGACGGACATACATAGCTAGATCGACTCAGCTCGGCGAGCTAGGAAGATATATATGGATCTATACTTTCCTATATGGGAAACCAATATTTCGAGGTGTTACATAATTTTTGGCCCAATCAAACTTATAATACCTCCAACACATAGTGTTGTAGGGTATAAAAAAAAAAATCATGTAAAAATGTGAAATTTCAACATTTTCATTTTGACTTTTAAAATGTACGATAGTAATGTTTTATTGCATATTTTTTTCCATTTTGACTTATGTGGCGTTTCCACTGCACTTAATTCCCTCTCAATTCGTTGTTTGGTCCTTAACTATGAAAAAACTATCTAATTCTTCACACAAAATTTCCTGAGCGAACACTCATATTTGTACGTTGTTCAAATCAAATCACTCTCAGAACAACGAAAAAATATGTCCCATCCCTAACAAATGAGAGCATTTATCGAAAAAATAAATTATGACATTTAAAAATTAAAAATAGGAAAATTTAATGAAATTTTAAAATTTTTTGGGAAGACTGAAAATTATGAATGAAAACTACAACGTTGAATGGCGTATGTACATTCAAACGAAAGTATATTTTGTTTTCCCTCTCATCCGAGGTGCGCATTTTGTCCACGAGTTGAAATTTCCACAGAAAACTGGAAACAAAAGATGCAATATTTTCAAAAGTTTAACAAGTGTCTCTCCAGCAGAATTTGAAAATAGAAAAATACTAAAATATGTCCAAAATTTCAACATTTACACAAAAAGTTGAAAACATGAATGAAAATTGTAAAATTAACGATATAATAAATGTTTGGGAGGAAAACAATAATTCTTCTATTCATATTAGTGTGAATTTAATGTATTTTCGTATAAATTCCCATTTAAATTAAACAAACAAAATTTTTTAAAAAAGGAATTATTTTACTATGAATTACGAATCGTGCCGTATGAACGGGATAATTCGTGTACGTGATTCTGAGAACATGCTATTACTATTTTCGAATGTACATTTTTGGATTTTTTTTTTTTTTTTTTTTTGGAATTCTAATATTATGTGTAGGTTTTTTTTTTGGGTAGTATAAAGCCACAATGGATAAAACTGTTATTTATAGATTTTATGTATTTATTCGTATTACCCAATAAATACATAAAATATATAAATAAAACTTTTATCCGTGGTCGCTTTATATGAAAATTCTAAAATCAGGAAAAATCGACAATTTTTCAATGGCATCGAATTTCGAAATAATAGTACATTCTACCGACAAACTTCGTAAGGACCTTTAAAAATTTGCCGCAAAAAAATCAGCGAACCAGTTGAAGATTCTTTTTCTTTTTTTCTATATTGAAATGTACATTTTTTATTGTTTTGAATTCTGAATGAATAATATTAAAAATGAAACGAGGGCGCAATACGATGTTAAATGCTTTCTACTCCAGGACCTACATCGTGCTTCAGCTGGAAGATGCGAACACATTTAAACAAACAATAATGACCGAAAATGCGTTATGGGGTTCATTTCGAAAGTGGATCTGCTTCTTTCATATGACAATAAAATGTCAAATGAGAACACAAAATGCAAAATACATTGGGACTGCAATCAGTTAAATACCGACTATAAAGGAGTCAAATTAGAAATTCTTCCTAAACATTCAAGATACCTTTAATCGCTTTGGCAGGTCATGATATGGGTCATAACCCCCGATAACGGAACAACCCGATTTCAAGTATATTTTACATTTTAACCATATTTTTCGTACTAATTTTAGCGTATTTTGATAATTTAAGAAAAAACCATCTTTGCAAAAAATTATCACGTTTTGGTATCACCATCATATGATTTAAGGTATTTTCGGGGTCTTGGCAACTTTTTAAATTTTTTGGCCCTTATTTGACATCTTTGTTTCTAAGGGGAAGAAAACCTCTTCTTATAAATTTTTTATTTTTCGGAAAAGGGTGCATCTTAGTCTTGAGGCTACCTGGGGTAAAAAAAACCCTGGGGTAGAAAATCATCTTACAGATAATTATCCGCATAGGCATTTATTTAAGTATAGTCCCCACATTAGTATACACCCAAGTCCACTTTCCCAAATTTGTTACCCCCAAGAGAATATTGGTTGGGAACGTAGATTTGGGATGTACGTCTATATGAAATAAACTCCGAAATGTCAATCTGGGACTCATTCAGTCGGAAATTGTGGCAGAAAGATGAAACAACATACGAAACTATAAAGTAACTTAAATGGATCTCCACCGCACAATTTAAATGACAAACAATTAATGACAATCTTACGGTAATCGGAACAAAAGAGTAATTATTTTGGCTATTCTGACAACATTCTGCCTTCAATTATGAGGTGGACAAAACTAAATACCACGCAGTACGGAATTTTAAACGTTGGAAATACAAAATTCGAATTATAGCTCATTTGAATACTTTTTACAATAGAGCTGAGAAGTATTTATATATATATATATATATATATATATATATATATATATATATATATATATATATATATATATATATATATATATATAAAGTAGGCCACACATACTCTTACGCCCACTATTTCGATTTATCTAAAATCTAAAAATTAAATCTATAAGAAAAAAAAAATTAAGCCGAGCTGAGCCGATTTGATTCAAAATTTCTTTTGGTTATTTGTAATTACAGTGGAAACGTTTTCATTAAAGAAAATTTTGAGAAAAACCTCTAAAAAAATTGCCGAACTGAAAAAAATGAAAGTACTATTTTGATATGGAATTTTGTGTAGAATTTTTTCAGAATGCCTTTTGGAATTAAAAATTCTTATTGAAAAAAAAATCGAAAAAAATCTGAAGTAGAAAAAAATCGGAAATCGGAAAAATCGAGAAATTTTGCATATTTTCTTTACATGCCGTTTATTTTTTTACAATTTTTATTAAAAAATACTTCTCAAAAAATACTTCATTTAAATTCTGAAATTCTATTTAATTGAGGCTAAGCCAAATGGGGTACC